CAGAGAAGCATATACCTCTCTCCAGTGAAGATCTCCCTTCTAAGTTCGTTTCTCCAAAATAAGTAATGATACAAATTTAAGCTCTCCTGACGGCAAACGACAGTTGCATGGAACAGGATGGCAGGCCACATGCTTGGGTGTTAGGCCACGTTCTTAACCCAGCATCTGCTTAAATATAGTACGTATTCGGGGCCGCATCACAGAACTAGTGAATCGCAATCTCCGGGGCTGGGGCCCGGGAATGTGCGTACTTCCAATAAAAGCTACAAGTGACTTCCCCATGATGCCACCCACTACAATCCCAGAGAGGACCCCTGAGGCCCCCAGAGGCCACGGGCTTCCCCCTAGCTCGCGGCGGCCGGGGAGAGAGCCGGCCGAGGTCCCCGCGCTCGCGCCTCGCCTGTCAGCCAGGCCCTGCCACGTCCCGGTCCTGCCCGACCCGCCCGCGGCCACCGCGCTCGCCTCACTCGCAGCACTCACAGATAGGGATGGCCGACACGATGAACGCATTCCCGAAGAAGAGCGCGGAGGACTTGGCCGAGAGGTTGCGGCTGAAATCCTGCAGAAGCAGGTCCTCCTCTGACTGCTGCTTGGAGGCGCCCTTGGGAGCCATGGCCGAGCCGGAACCTAGAGCCGGGAGAGCAGCGGCAGAAGCGCAGCCGGGAATCCTCGGCCCCGCCCCCGCGGCCGCCCAATCAGCGACTGACCCGTCAGCCCCGAGCGGGAGGCGGCCCAACCGCCGCCTGCCCGGTCAGCCCCGAGCGGCAGGCGGGAAGGGGCGGTGCCCAGCCTGTCCCCCCGCCCAGGCCGCCCTTCCCGTCCTGATTGGACCAGCTGGCCAGACTTCCGGCTTCCTGGCCCCGCACGTGACTCGTGTGCGCCTACGAGGACATAGGGATTTGTAGTTTACTGTGTGCTGTGTTTTTCTTTTTTTAAATTAACAAAACTTTATTAACATTTCACTTTCCCGCTGCTGACAGACTTGTGCTTTCCAAGTTTTAAGAATTCCAAAATGAAAAGATCCTCTGGCCCTGCGTAATAGGTTCATTCATTAATTCAACGAGCATATGGTGAATACCTTCTGTGTAAACCTAGTGCTCAAGACATTGGAGGAAGGGGAAAAACACACAGCTAAGGCCTGTAGAGTCCCTCCTTTATACATCCACTATTTCAAAAGTCGTAGGACGCGCACCCCATTTCCCCCATTGGAGGACCCGAGGGAGGGAGACAGCATTTCCTGTCTCCAGGGCGTGGGTTCTTTTCACAAAAACAATGGGCTGCCTTAGTACAAAAAAAGGCAGCACTCTTGTTTTTAAGGAACTCATGAGCTCACTGATGAAGGTAATACTTAACATGTATCTAATAAATACATTTACCAATTACTACTATTGTATTACTTTTCTCTCTTTTAAACCTCTAGAATAGTGTGCCTCCAAAGCCTTGCTAAAAATCCAACAGATGGAGGGACAAGCAATTGGCATAATGGCTATGTCGCTGGACTCCTATGTAGTCAATCCCAGACCTGGTGGCTGAGGCGGGCGTGTGTGCCTGTGTGCCTAAGATCCGGAGAGGAGAATGGAGGAAAAGGGATTGTGGGTAGCCATCACCCCCAGGAGATGACTTCTTGCATTCTGTTTCTCTGTCTCTCTGTCTTTCTGGCCAGCGCACGCACTCTAAACCCAAAACCTCTCAAAAAAAAAAAAAAAAAAAAATCCGACATATGGCACCAGCAGATGATGTAGCAGTTATGTCGCTAGACTCCCATATGGCTGATGCAGTTCGAGTCCTGGACCCAGTGTGCTTGAGTGCCTAAGATCTCAAGAGGAGAGTGGAGGAGAAGGGATTATGCAATGTCCATGGGGGGGGGGAGTGGTGGTGATTTCTCACTTCTTCTCTCACTGTCTCTGTCTCTGTCTGTCTCTCTCCCTCTCCCTTTCCCCTGCAAGCAAAGGCGCCCTAAGGCAAAAGCATCTAAATAAATATATACATACATGAATAAAATGCAACATAATTCTAAGTAAAGACAGCAGGTTGTCTGGTCAGAGTGCCTCTGAAGCTCAGAAAGATTGCATATGCCTATTAAAAGAGATGCCATTTTCACTCATCAAATTATCACCTTTTCTTCAAAAAAATACACAAGAACATCACTCTCCGCAAATGATTCTTTCCTCTGCATTACTGAAATAGCCACACTATATCAAGCAAAACCTCCACATCCATCTTTCTTATCGAGATTTGTAGACATATTTCTTCCTCACTTTATCCAAATTGTAATCAGCCTTCACAGCTTCCATCTTCATTGAACTTTCTGTCTTCAAACTTTTTCAATCTACTCTCTACATAACTATCAGAGTGAGTTTTCCTGAAATATATAAATTTTTCCATTATCTAAGACAAGTATTCCCAAATGCCTGAAGCTTCCACCAATTCACTGAAAACTGAGGAAGAAAAAAATAGATCATCTAGCTAATTTTTCAGGAAACTACAAGTATTAATTTTAAAATGCCTCTGTTTATATTCTTTTTGCAAATGTCAAGCATCGATGATAAATGCATCCTTTTAATATGTGATTGTAACAGGAAAAAAAACTCTTGATTTTATCTTACTACATGGGTGTCGGCCGAGCTTTCATGGGTGTCGGCTGAGCCTACACGGGAGTCTGGCGAACCTACACGGGAGTCTGGCGAGCCTACACAGGAGTCTGGCAAGCCTACACGGGTCTCTGCCAAACCCACATGGGTGTCTAACGAGACTACACGTGTGTGTGCGAGTCTACATGGGTGTCCGTGGAGCCTACTCAGGAGACAGCCAGGCCAACACGGGTGTCTGCCGAGCCTACACGGGTCTCTGCAGAACCCACACGGATCTCTGCCGAGCCCACACGAGTGTCTGCGGAGCCCACACGGGTGTCTGCCGAGCCCACACAGGTGTCGGTCATGCCAGGCCGAGCCTATGCAGGTGTCTGCTGAGCGTACGCGGGTGACTACCGAGCCAACACGGGTGACTACCGAGGCTACACGGGTGTGTGAAGAGCAAACGAGGGAGTCGGCCGGCGCTACCGGGGGTCTCTCCCGAGACTATACGGGTCTCTGCCGAGCCTATTTGGGAGTCGGCCGTGCCTACTCGGGAGTCGCTGGAGCCTACATGGGTGTCTGCCGAGCCTACACAGGTGTCTGCCAAGCACACACGGGTGTCTGCCGAGCCCACATGGGTGTCTGCTGAGCCCACATGGTGTCTGCCGAGCACGCCCGGGTGTCTGCCGAGCCCACACAGGTTTCGGGCGTGCCAAAACGGGTGTCACCCGAGCCCACACAGGAATCTACTGAGCCCACACGGGTCTCTGCAGAGCCCACAAAGGTGTCTGCCGAGCCCACACGGGTGTCTGCCGAGCCCACACGGGAGTCAGCCGAGCCCACATGGGTGTCGACCAAGCAATCATGGGTATCTGCCCTGCCAAAACGGGTTTCAGCCAAGCCCACACTGGTGGCTGCCAAGCCAACATGGATGCCGACCATGCCAAAACTTTTGCCGGCCGAGCCAAAACAGGTGTCTGCCGAGCCAAAATGGGTGTCTTCCGAGCCCACACGGGTCCCTGCCGAGCCCACAAAGGTGTCTGCTGACCACACTCGGATGTCTGCCCAGCTTGCAAGGGTGTCTGCCGTACCAAAACTGGTGTCTGCTGATCCCTCATGGGTGTCTGCGGAGCCCTAACGGTGTCTGCAGAGCCCACAAGGGAGTCTGCCAAGAACACTCGGGTGTCTGCTCAGCTCACAAGGGTGTCAGCCGTACCCAAACTGGTGTATTCCGAGCCCACACGGGTGTCTGCTGATCCCACACGGGAGTCAGCCGAGCCAACATGGGGGTCGACCAAGCAATCATGGGTGTCTGCCCTGCCAAAATGGGTTTCAGCCAAGCCCACACTGGTGGCTGCTGAGACAAAACGGATGCCGGTGGTGCAAAAATGGGTGCCAGCCGAGCCAAAACGGGTGTCTGCTGAGCCAAAATGGGTGCCTGCCGAGCCCAAACAGGTGTCTGCCAAGCACAATTGGGTGTCTGCCGAGGACACATGGGTGTCTGCCGAGCACACTCGGGTGTCTGGTCAGCCCGAACGGGTGTCTGCTGTGCCAAAACTGGTGTCTGCCGAGCCCTCACGGGTGTCTGCCGAGCCCACACGGGTGTCTGCCGAGCCCTAACGGGTGTAGGCTGAGCCCACACGGTGTCTACTGAGCCCATACGGCTGTCTGCCAAGCCCACATGGGTGTCGGCCTAGCCCAATGGGTGTCGGCCTAGCTTACACGGTTCTCTGTTGAGCCCAATAAGGTGTCTGCCGAACCCACATGGGTGTCTGCCAAGCACACTTGCATGTCTGCTCAGCCCAAACAGGTGTCTGCTGTGCCAAAACTGGTGTCTGCTGAGCCCACATGGGAGTCTGCCGAGCCCACAGAGGTGTCTGCTGAGCCCAAACGGGTGTCTGTCGAAGCCACACGGGTGTCTGCCGAGCACACTTGAGTGTCTGCCCAACCTGCACAGATGTCTGCAGAGCCAAAATTGGTGTCTGCCAAACCCACACGGGTATCTGCCGTACCAAAACGGGTGTCTACCGAGCCCACACGGGTGTCTACCGAGCCCACACGAGAGTCAGCCGAGCGCACTTGGATGTCAGCCAACCCCAAATGGGTGTCTATCGAACCCACACGGATCTCTGCCGAGCCCATAAAGGTGTCGGCCTAGCCCAAACGGGTGTCTGCCAAGCCCACATGGGTGTCTGCCGAATACACTCAGGAGACTTCGCAGGCGGCACGGGTTTCTGCCGTGCCAAAATTGGTGTCTCCGAGCCCGCACGGGTGTCTGCCAAGGCGACACGGGAGTCATCAAGCCCACACAGGAGTCAGCCAAGCTCACATGGGTGTCGACCAAGCAATCATGGGTATCTGCCCTAACAAAACGGTTTGCAGCCAAGCCGACATTGAATGCTGCCGAGACAGCACAGATGCCAGGTGTGCCAAAACGGGTGCCGGCCAAGCCAAAACAGGTGTCAGCCGAGCCCACACAGGTGTCTGCCTAGCTCAATAAGATGTCGGCCGAGGCCAAACAGGTGTCTGCAGAGCGCACAGGGGTCTCTGCCGAGCTCACACAGGTGTCTGCCGAGCCCAAATGGGTGTCTGCCGAGCCCACACGGGTGTGTGCCGAGCATACTCGGATGTCTGCCCAGTCCGCACGGGTGTCGGCCGTGCCAAAACTGGTGTCTGCGGAGCCCACATGGGTGTCTGCCGAGCACACTCGGGTGTCTGCTCAGCTTGCAAGGGTGTCTGTTGTGCCCAAACTGGTGTCTTCCGAGCGCACACGGGTGTCTGCCGAGCACACTTGGGAGTCAGCCGAGCCCACATGAGTGTCGACCAAGCAATCCTGTGTGACTGCCCGGCCAAAACGGGTTTCAGCCAAACCCACACTGGTGGCTACTGAGACAACACGGGTGCCGGCGGTGCCAAAACGGGTGCCGGCCGAGCCAAAACGGGTGTCTGCCGAGCCCAAATGGGTTTCTGCCGAGCCCACACGGGTGTCTGCCGAGCCC